GTATATATGTTTTAATGCCAACCATGTATCCATCCATTGTAAATACACCATGAACATACATACAGTCAACACTTACACAACTTTTTTGTTCTCCTGTCTGCGCACAGTGAGTCCAAATGGGTTTTGTGTGATCTCCAATGTGTCGCTGATAGGGGTGGATGATTTACTTTTGACCTTGGGGATGTGTTCATGTGGGACCTCAAATCTGTTATTCTGGCCATCAAAGATCTGGGGGAAAATGACACAACCGTTAAGGCATTGCAATCATGTATTTATACAGTCATTACCACATCTTGTTGTGTACACTATAATATGCAATTTTTTTTGTTGTTGTTTTGGGCAATATTTTAAAAATGGAGAGATATAAAGAGATGCAATATATAAGTGTTCACCTTAAAATGAAGTCGATTGCTGGTCTGCATTTCTGCATGAAATGACAGATCCTCAATATCCGCACCAAACAGGGAGGGAGAGGACATTCTTTTCAGCTGGGCACTAATTACTGTAAAAAATAAAACAAGAACACAATACTTGAAATTATAAAACAGAAACAACAATTGTATAAACTTCCCTTTTAAATGTAAACATTTCACAATACGTAAACATTTAACGTTAATTTATTTAACCATTTACTTTTAAGGGATGTGAATGTTGTTTTTTGGTGTGTAAAGACCAAATGTAAGTCAGAAACTCATGAGTTTTTAGATATTTCTATGAATGTGATTTTTTCTTTGCCTATTTATTTGTTTAAATTATTATAGAGGATTTTTTTGTGTGTGTGGAAAATATTTATCACAGTCTAAGCAGTTGGTAATTCTCACTTAGGTCTTCAGAATTATATGACAGCGTTCGTGTTAAAGGCAAGTTGGAGTGTTAGGAACAATAATGATAACGCTGTAAGATAAAGCAAAGGTTATAAAGTGATATAATGATGACATTAGCATTACTGTTAATATCTTGACTGCAAGCCAACAGTAAACTTCTAATAATAAATCTTTATAGCTAATGTGAATGGTGTAGGTGAGGATTGTGAAACTGTCATCTTTGCCAGACATCACTAGTCAAATGTAATAAATGTTGACTGACATATGTTTCACCCCTTAAAAGAGACTTGTATTCCCAATTGTGAATGTGATCTCACAGAACTTTGATTGTTGAAGAGGAGAATGTCATTGAAATGATGGCATTTTAAATGTTTGAGAACCYGTAACCAAAATGACTCCATTAAATGTTCAAGTTTCTTCTCTTCTGGCATAAAGAGCACTTTAAGTCTAAAATGTATTTCTTCAGAAATACTTTGCTAGTTGTGTAGAAATGTTCTGTTTCCTTGTTGCAATGCAATTTATTTTACCCATTAATGTTCTGTTATAGCTAGTGAGTGAACTCCATGGATTAATGTATTTACTCAGCCTGTTCATAAACCAGCTTTAAAGAGCTGATTTTACCATGTCACATTGCTGATAAAGAAATTTGCCTTGGGTTAGTTWATTTATTTATTTTTTAGTTAGCTACATCTGCAATAAACACCTGTTATAGGCAGACATGAGTCAATTTAACTTGAGAATTTATTTTATTTTTTTGTGTGCATTGGTTACTGTTACACGTCAAACTGGCTGGTTAATATGGTTCCATCATTCAGTTCCTCTGTATAGAAACATCAGTAAACTTGTTTGAATGTAAGTTTTTACAGTATGTGTGTGTGTGTGTGTGTGTGTGTGTGTGTG